CCCCCCGATGGCCATCGTTGATAATTATTAGTTAGAAGTTATTGCAGCGACTACCACTAATCGGTGTAAAGCCGTTCTTCATGATCGAAGCGACGATAAGCGCCGCGTGATCGGTGGCGATGGCGTGTTTCTGCCTGGCTGCTGCTAAGATGAGTGATGTCCTCACGACACTCGCTTTGATATATGGCATAATTGTTGCAAATCCGAGCTCTGTCAGTGTACGCAAGAGTGTTCGCAAGCATCCATGGCAGGTTTCGACGAGTGATGATCGTTCGTTAGCTCCTATCAACGCAACGAAACCGAAACCCGTCGGTTTAAATCGTGCGCTCAACCCATGCTAACCTTGCACCAGAAAGGATCGATGCACCCAGTGGTTGGTTCAACTGCTTTATGAATATGGATTAATAATATGCTGACATATCGATTTCCGAAACGTTGCGAATTAATCGTCGATTGCACAAAGACCAAGCGGATAATCGGAAAATAGGAAACTTCAGACTACTCCTACCCTCCCCAGCATGAGTAATAAATTCTCTGAGATCCAGACAATAAGAAATACAGGTTTCCGGTCACAGTAGATAAAATAAATTTCCTCAGATTTCAGTTTCGAAATCATGCAGTGTCGACATATCAACTCTGGCAGCGAGATCATCTGCAGAGCATGATCATTGCGGGCCATAACATATCTGATGGTCCTTAGTGCACCTCACGAGTGCCAAAATCTCTGAGCCATTGCATATGCCTGCACCTGAACCTGTTGTGGTTAGGCATGAAAAGAAACAGTTATTTAAAGAACTGTCATTCCGTGGGCAAAGGTTCAATGTGCTAAGATTGGAAAAATGTTCAGGTTCGTAGTATTAATCTGTAGACTGCTGATCAGCATAACTGAGGTTGACGATTTAGCCAGCTGATCTGTCGCATTAATAAAATCTGTCAATGAACGTAGTTGGCAGCGAAACCGACTGGCAGAAGGTCCAGGGGATGACCAAGATTAATGTGGTGCTAATATATAGAAGGAGTCTGTTCCAGACTCCAGTTGTCTTCTGCAGAAGCTCAGACTCTGGCACAGGATCGGGAACGTTGGAAGGAGAAGTGACCATGGAAGATGAAGATGAAAATATACGTAGTTCTTGCAGACATGATCTGTGGACGTCGTTGCTTTTGCGCAACCAGCACCTCAGCTAATTCGTCGTCATCAGCCCTTACCGATCCACTGCTGCCTCTCCAAGTCTTAACCATAGATCTCCGATTTCTGCATGTTTCAACCGTCTTGACCCAGCGAACTTCTTCAGTTCATCCGGCCATCGGTCTTGGTCTTCTTGCGAGCCATTTGCCCTCTTTTGAAATCCACTTTAAAATCTTTGTGGTTCAGCGTTGGTCGGTTGTTATTGCAAAGTGTCATGCCTACTGCCACATATTGCAGGCCGTAGTATGTACTCATACCCATTCACTCGTCTTCCTATCTTTTCCTCTTATGCCCAACAGGCATCTGTCCATGCTGCGCTGAGTAGCATACGGTTT